GGTGCAACTGAGGTCAAGGTCTCTTAACATATCAAATAATTTGACCTTTTTGTAATAAGACACGGTAAATTCAAATTATGTGGTGTAAGACTGTAATAATATTTATGATGAATAATAAATTCATGATATTTGTAAAACAAAATACAACAAAATAAATGTTAAAATATTTTATTTTAAAATAAAATATTATTAATATATTTAATAGTGCTGTAAAACGATTAATCGCGTCATTAAATTTAGATCTGCTCATGTTGCATCATATTTCCTTTTACAGCGTTGCGATTTATAACCAATCACTCACAATTCTGTTGAGCTTATGAATGCAATAACCAATCAGAGGCATTCAGATTACTCATCGCTGGAATGCTGGAGTTTTGTTCAGTGCGTGTGCTCGCCGACTGAATTCTGATCTCTCATGAATTCTTGAACATGAAAATGTAAATTTGGAATCATCATTTTATCATGCTTTTCACTTTAGAATACTGATCCAAATAATTAGTAGTTCCTTTAGAATGATTTGGTAATTACTAGTGGGTTACCATGATCTTCACTTCAGAATTAATTATACATTGTGCATAATTCACATTAATTATGAACCTGTATAGTAGCTCTTAGTAGTTCTCCAGGATATATGAAAAAAAAAATAGTAGTTACTGATTAGCTAATAGTGAACAGCCACTTTCAACTGAGCACTAGCCTATTACTTACTAAATCATTAATCAGAGTTTCTTGTTAGTTAATAGTAGTTACTAGAATGTTATTAGTGCATTAGTTATTTGTTCCTGTGTAGTTATTCATTAACGACAGGACAGTATTCTTAAGTATTACCGAAATTTTAAGTCACATGGCTTGTTGAAGAGAAGCATGCTATTACTTGATGGGACCTTTCAACCAGCAGACTTTAAAATAAACTAAAATACCCCATAGACCAGCAGTGAAAGAGGAACCTGAGGCAGATACTATATGGGATTTGGAAACCTCCTTATGAAAGGTGTATTTATTTGTTTATTTTATTTTTAAGTAATTCTGTGTTTTCAATTGCTATCTAGCTCAACTCTGCCCAAATCCAGGAAACTTCTGAAAACTTGGACTGTAAGTGCCAAAGCAACAGCATCTCAGGATATCTACCATACTTCACATCTGAAAGGAGCTTCTCAAGCGGTATGGAATGCTAGAATATTTTGCTTTGGAAAATGTTACTGCATCTATTCAGTTGTAGACCAGCATGTCAGGTTGTGTTGCAGATCTTCCAAAGGACTGCGGTGAGGTCTTCAGCCGAGGACAGAAATCCAGTGGCCTGTATGCCGTTAAACCTCAAGAGTCACAAACGTTTCTTGTGAATTCACTGAGAGTAAGGATAAGGCATTTTCTTTCTCACATCTCTGATTTCTGAAAAGAGCCAGAGGTGATTTCCTTCCAAAGAAAACTGATTCTCATTCAACTTTAAGATGGCAGCCTCTGTCTGGCATTGTCTTCTGTCATCCACAGAGGGAGTGTTAACTGTCATCCAGCGCAGACATGATGGCTCTGTGGACTTCGACCTGTCCTGGGAGAAGTATGAGGATGGATTTGGGGACTTCAGTAGTGAGTTAAATCAAGAATGTTCTGCCTGTGATTATTGAGTGGAGCACAATGGAGTGCTCTGTGATTAGTGTTGAGAAGTCTGAAACTTAACACCCTACTTTTAGTATCACTTTTTACTACATAATTTCACAGTATGTCCAATTTGACCAGCATTCTATGTCAATGTCAATGTCACTTTATTTATAAAGCACTTTATTTAAAACAACAGCTGGACTTGTAAGTAAGTTTTGATTTAAAATTACCTACAGCTCTGGCAGTCCTAATACTAGCTGGCAGGCTATTCCCCAATTTTGGCGCGGCTACTGCAAATGCCCGGTCACCTCTGAGTTTTAGTTTTGTTCTTGGAACCACTCATATTCCCTGATTTGATGATCTCAAGGACTTCCCTGGGTCATATTCGACAAAAGATCAGTAAGGTAAGAAGGTGCCAAGCCGTTTAGAGCTTTATAAACCATTAAAAGAACATTAAAATCAATTCTGTAGCGGACCGGCAACCAGTGTAATGACATTAACGTCAGTGTAATGTGTTCATATTTTTAACCCCAGTCAGGAGCCTGGATGCTGCATTCTGAACCACTTGAAGTCTAGAAAGTGAGCCTTGCCTTATCCCTATATAAAGTGTGTTACAATAGTCGAGCCTTGAAGTAATGAGGGCGTGAATAGCCCTCTCAAAATTCTTAAAAGACAGAAAAGACTTCACCTTTGCCAGTGCTCTTATATGGAAGAAACTAGATTTGAGCACAGAGCTGACCTGAATGTCGAACTTCAAAGCACTATCCAAATTGACTCCCAGGTTTTTTACACAGGGTTTTACATATGGAGAGAGAGGGCCAAGCTTAAAATTATTATTTTTTTTATTCAGTGTGCCCAAATGTGATAATCTCTGTCTTATTTTCATTTAAATTTAGAAAATGTACAGCCATCCAGGCCTTTAAATCTTTAAGGCAGGAGAGTCTAAACAGTGTTTATCTTGTTTTAAGGGAAGATAAATTTGAGTGTCGTCTGTGTAGCAGTGAAAGGAAATGTCATATTTCTTAAAAATGGAACCTAATGGCAGCATATAGATGGAGAATAACATTGGAGCCAAGATGGAACCCTGGGGGATTCCACTCGTAAGTGGGGCTGTACTAGATACAAAGTCCCCAATATTTACTGAGAAAGTTCTATTTTCAAGAAAGGACTGAAACCAATTTAGAGCTTTCCCTTTGATGCCTGCACATTTCTCTAAACGGGACAACAGGGCAGTATGGTCGACTGTGTCAAAGGCAGCACTTAAACCCAAGAGCACAAGCACAACAGAGCTACCAGTACCCACAGTTCTCAGTACATCATTTATCACTTTAACAAGTGCTGTTTCTGTAGAATGATATTTTCTAAATCCAGATTGAAAGACTTAAAAATTCTTGTTTTCTTCCAGGAAGTTGTACAGTTGCTGAAAGACTGCCTTCTCTAATATTTTAGAGATAAATGACAGTTTAGAAACCGGTCTAAAATTTGATAAAATTGTAGGGTCTAAATTTGGCCGTTTGAGGAGTGGTTGGACAGAGGCCTGTTTCAAATAATCAGGTACAATTGCTGTTTCTAGACATTTATTTGTAAATGCTAGAAGATTGGGCCCTATCGAATTTAAAAGGTGTTTGACAAGGCGAGGAGGAATTACATCAAGCGAGGAACCAGTGGGTTTCAGCTTATTTACAATTTCCTGCAACGACGAGAGCATACCTGTCAACCCTCCCGTTTTTTACCATTCTATCCCGCTTTCATCCCGTTTAAATATTTTCCCGTATTTCTCCAGTATTTTTAAATCTTTCTATAGAAAATAAAAAAATCCCACTGGGCGTAGCCTATTTTATATGTTTGCTACATTCGCTTCCTGTAAAACTCCCGTAATTTGTATGGGCCAACCTCAATATATGAATAATCACGACAACAAATTCCAGGGTTGTCCAGTTGCCAAATCTTGTATGAAACGCATCTTTCTCACACGATCCACGCATACAAGTTTTAACCCATTTGTCCCCTCAACTTGGCAACCTACAGCCCAGTGATGCTATTGATATGTGCGCAGGTAGTAGGCTACCGCGGGAAGGAAACAATGATCACTGGTAGAAATGGGAGGAGAAGACTCAGTTGGTGCTCCAGTGAAAAAAACTAAATATGTGTAAGGAATTTTAACTCAGTTGTAAGGGAATTAATTATTATTATTGATTCAGGTGTTGATAGGACTCGGATTTGAAGAGTCTAATTCAACCTGATTCGAGTTTGTGTCCGCTTATAGATTCAGGGGTTTCACTATCTTGAAGACCCGAATCCTACATAATGTATATGTATATTTACATCACATGTATAATGAAATATAGCTTACACTTCCAAAGGCTATTTAACTGACTAAATATGAGCGCTGCAAGTTTTGATATTTAAAACTTTCAAGGGAGCCACTTCATATAAAATATTGGTGCAAGCAGTGTTAAACGCAGCATTCAGCTCATCCAACCCCAATCAAACACACCTAAACAAGCTAATCAAGGCATTCCAGATTACTAGAAAACTACAGGCAGGTGAGTTTGATCAGGGTTGGAATTGACCTGATTTCCTTGCCAGATTACTAGAAAACTACAGGCAGGTGAGTTTGATCAGAGTTGGAATTTGACCTGATTTACTTGGATCTTTAAAACCCCATTTTACAGAGGTTGATATTGCAGCAACACGTATTTGTTTTAGTTTTGTTCATATTGTTGTCCGCTTCTCCTGACGCACCAATTCAGAGCATTTTCCAGCAGAGATCGTTGTGAGATCGCAAGTTGGGAGGATGACACCGCGAGTGTATTTCTCGTTGATTGCCGTTTTATCGTGTGTGTTCTGATACTTGAGCATAACTCACGCTATTCAAAGACGAACCACAGGTGAGAAGATCTGTTGACTTCATTACACAACCTGAAGAAATGCAGAAATAAGTTATTCTCAGTCTTTGAAAGTAATTAACACCGTTTAGGAATGAGTAGTAGGTTTTAAAACGCTTTTTATTTGACGCAGACAAATATGTAAAAGTTGTATTTGGATTTGAGATCCATTGCGAAACCCCTGATTTACAAATGCTGAAACCGCACCCCCTGGCCTCCCCTAATGATCCCAGTTAATAATGGATGCTGAGGGTCCCAACACAGAGACAGACAGACACACACACAGACAAACACATTGAATTTAATTGACTTTGCCTTTTGTTCTTCTCGTCTAAGGTAGGTTTGAATGCATCCCTTAGGATAGTTAAGCACAGGATGGCTTTACAAAATAAAGAGGCATAATACTTAAATAATTCAGTCTGTAGGTAAAACTGGCTATTCATGCTTTTGAGTTTTTCGTATTGTATATTGAAGTGGCATACTGTCTATATGCACAAACTAAAGCCGACTATCTGTGTCCACGCAGTGAAGCCGGGTCAATGTCCCATACCGGAGATGATTCCACTGTGTGCTAAAAGCTGTTTCCATGATGGCCAGTGTCCTGCCACACAGAAATGTTGCCCAACCACCGCTGGCTTCGCATGCAGTGAACCACATTGTCAGGGAAGAGGTCAGGCAAGTTGTCAAGAAAGCAGCCAGGGCAGCGGCCAGGGCAGCGGTAATGGCCAGGGTAGCGGCCAGGGCCAGGGTAGCGGTCAGGAAAGCAGCCAGGGTAGCGGCCAGGGAAGAGGTTATGGTCAGGGAAGCGGCCAGGGTAGCGGTCAGGGAAGCGGTTATGGCCAGGGAAGCGGCCTGGGCCAGGGTAGTGGTCAGGGAAGCGGCCAGGGCGAGGGAAGTGGCCAGGGAAGTGGTTATGGCCAGGGAAGCGGTCAGGGAAGTGGTCATGGTCAGAGTAGCGGCCAGGGAAGCGGTCAGGGAAGTGGTCATGGTCAGAGTAGCGGCCAGGGTCAGGGAAGCGGCCAGGGTAGCGGCCAGGGAAGCGGTTATGGCCAGGGAAGCGGCCAGGGCCAGGGTGGTTAGGTTAGGGTTAGGGTTAGGGTTAGGGTTGGGTTAGGGTTAGGGTAGCGGTCAGGGTAGCGGCCAGGGAAGCGGCCAGGGAAGCGGTTATGGTGAGGGTAGCGGTCAGGGAAGCGGTTATGGTCAGGGAAGCGGGTATGGTGAGGGTAGCGGTCAGGGAAGTGGCCAGGGTAGCGGTTATGGCCAGGGTAGTGGTCAGGTAAGCGGCCATGGTCACGGAAGTGGTCAAGGGAATGGTGAGGGATGTGGTCATTGACATGGTCATGGGAATTTTGCGTAACATTTACTGGAGATCTTTTCAATTCGGTGCCTTATTCATATGGAATGTTTTCCTTGTTTGCTCAACAGTTTAGAAAGAGATTTTCTGTCTCTCTCCTCCTCCACCTCCTACTCCTCCTCAAATAAAAAGAATTGCTTAGAGTTGGGGTGTTTTTTTTTTTTGTTTTTTTTTGTTTTTTGTAAGCCTATATATGCAAAGGTCCGGATCTCAAAGGCCCCTGAAGGGGTTGAGGGGAGAGATGTAGTGTCGTTTATGGAGGAATGGCTCCCTAAAATCATCGGTGTGGATCAGGAGCGCCCGTTTGAAATTGAGCGGGCCCACCGTACACTTCAGCGTCGGCCAGCAGAGCACGAAAGACCGAGAGCCATCGTGATTAAACTGCTTCGCTTCAAAGATACAGTCTCAATAATGAATGCGGCGCGGGAGAAAAAGGATCTCCTATATGACAATTCCAAAATTGTGATCTTTCGGGACATGTCAACGACCCTCTATAAGAAGAAACGGGACCACAATATCTCCTACAGTATGCAGTATCCGGCCACTTTGAGGGTGAATCTCCCTGAAGGCCCGCGATTTCAGCTCTAAAGACGCGGCTGAGGCTTATTTGAAAGCTCATCACCCGACACTGCTGTCGGCAGGTTCGGAGTGAGACTGCAGGTACATTATGAGTAGTCACTGGATTTGTGGACAATTGGACTTTAAATAGGTGTCAGAAAGGACTGTACTGAAACTGTTCAATGTTGCCTTAGCGTTCTGTCTATTATAGGCTACTGTTCGAGATCCTTTTGATGAGTCATTGTTTGTATCTATTTAAAGTTGATCTGTGTCTTAGCTTCAACTTGTTCTACCCAGTAGATGGTAACGTATAGCTTGCGTTAATAATTCCGCTATAAAATGTGGGAAGCTTTAGCTTGAAGTTGTGCACTACTTGTGTATGCAACGTTACGCGAGTCTGTTCGGTATGTTCACAGGGAAAGTGTTATGTGGGGTGGGGGGGCACTGTTTCTTTTTCTTTAAATGATACCTGATAGAGATAAATATTAATATCTGTCCTGGAATATTAATGGTATTAATAACAACCTAAAGAGAAAGAAAGTATTATTGTTTTTAAAGAAAAACAAGATAGACATTGCTTTCAAGAGACCCATATGACTGAGGTTGACCATTGTAAGTTGTCACGGCAGTGGCCAGGACAAGTGTTTTTTGCCTCATATAGCTCACACTCAAGAAGGGTTGCTATTTTAATAAATCGTAGAGTACCTTCTGTATTGGAATATACGGTCAAAGACAGTTATGGAAGATATATCATTTTAAAAGGACATACTGCTTCTGAGATGGTCAAAATAGCAAATGTTTATGGCCCCAATCAAGATGACCCTGAATTTTTTCATAATTTACACTTTAAAATTCCCCTACCCTGTACAATTATTGGAGGTGACTTTAACTTGGTCCTAGATCCAGCAGATAGATCGCTCTTTAAATGCTCCACCTTAACCCCATCAGCAAGGGCTGTGAAGCACATAATGGCTGAATTGGAACTGATTGATATCTGGAGGGCTTTGCATAAGACCCAACACGACTTTTCTTTTTTTTCTCGACCCCGTAAAAGTTTCTCAAGAATAGACTTTTTTTCTTCTACATAAAAGACAGGAGCACTTGGTGGACTCGTGTGAATACCTTCCACGAAATTTATCTGATCATTCACCATTAGTTCTGGAAATCCCTCCCTATCTCTATAATTGGCAGAGTAAACTCTATTAAAATGACTGTTCTGCCAAAATTTTTATATCTGGAACAGACACTCCCTCCTGTATTGCCAAAGTTTTTCTTTAAGGATCTTCATGGAATTATTTCTAGATTCTTATGGAAAGGGAAAGTGCCGCGAGTCAAGTTAAGTCAAGTCAAGTCAAGTCACCTTTATTTATATAGAGCTTTTAACAATACAGATTGTGTCAAAGCAACTGAACAGCATTAATTAGGAAAATAGTGTGTCAATAATGCAAAAATGACAATAGTAAACACTAATTTTCCAGTTAAAGACAGGTCATGATTGAATTCAGTGATGTCTTCATTCAGCTCAGTTCATAGTATCATAGTATCTGTGCAATCAAGGCGACGATATCGCTGGAAATGAAGTGTCCCCAACTAAGCAAGCCAGAGGCGACAGTGGCAAGGAACCAAAACTCCATCGGTGACAGAATGGAGAAAAAACCTTGGGAGAAACCAGGCTCAGTCGGGGGGCCAGTTCTCCTCTGGCCAGACCAAACCAGCAGTTCAATTTCAGTCACATTGTGCAGAGGACTCATCTGGTTCCTGTGGTCTTGTCCCGGTGGTCGTCTGAGACAAGGTCTTTACTGGGGATCTGTATCTGGCGCTCATCTAGTTGTCCTGGTCTCTGCTGTCTTTCAGGGCTGTAGAGGTCGTCTCTAGGTGCTGATCCACCATCTGGTCTGAATATGTACTGGATCCGGGTGACTGCAGTGACCATCTTATCTGAATACAGACTAGATCTGGTGGCAATGGTGACCTCGGAATAAGAGAGAAACAGACTAATATTAGCGTAGATGCCATTCTTCTAACGATGTAGCAAGTACATCGGGTGTTATGGGAAGTGTTCCCGGTTCCGGTTGACCTAATTAATGCAGCCTAAAAATCCTTTAACAGATTTGAATATTAGAAGCGTATTAGTGTGTTATGTGTAAGCCAGGTTAAAGAGATGGGTCTTTAATCTAGATTTAAACTGCAAGAGTGTGTCTGACTCCCGAACAATGTTAGGTAGGTTATTCCAGAGTTTGGGTGTTAAGTGTGCTATTTATGCACATTCCGGAATGGTGGACTTAAGCTACCCATTTTTTATTTATATTATTGCGCAGCTCAGTTACGTACAGTCTGGATTTGGCAATCAAACTGTGTCTCCACTCTTGGTTGGCGACAAATACAAGAGGCACAAATACAGGGTATAGCTCGCTCTGCAACACCTTTTGTCCCTATAAACTGTTTGAAGAAACTGACTTATATCCCTCTGATTGTTGGTACTTGCAAAATTTGTGTAGATTTGTGCAAAAAGTTGAATTGCAGGCAGACTCTGTTTAGATCCACTGCATTCTATTATAATCTCTTTCTACCTCCTGTTCTTAAAGATGGTATTTCTAAACAGTGGTATGATCATGGCATTCAAACTTTTGACAAGCTTTATGAGGGGGACACACTTAATGTCTTTCGAACAATTACAACAGAAATACTTTCTCCCTTCTAAATTTTTCTTTAAGTACCTACGGGTTAGACATTATATTCAGACACAGCAAGGTGGTCGTTTATTGAACCTTTCTCTTTCCCCTCTCGAGGCCATCCTGTTTGATAAAAGAGATCCTAAGGGTTTTATCTCATTTATCTATGGCAAGTTACTCCAGGCGATGACTGGTGTTGTTTGTAATACTATATCTAAATGGGAACAAGACCTGGACTATTTATTTACTGATGATGAGTGGGAAACGATATGCGAGAAAGCTCAGACTTTGTCTTTTAATAGCCGTCATAAACTAATTCAATTTAATGTAATACATAGAGTTTATTATACCCCAGTCAGACTAAATACCTTTAAAAGTACTTACTCAGAGCTTTGTCCTAGAAGTAAAGTGGACAGAGGGACTCTCTTACATATGCTGTGGTCTTGCCCTGATCTAGAGGACTACTGGAAAGGGATCTTGGAGATCATCGCTATAGTTGTTGGTACTAATGTACCCAGGGAGCCCAGACTTATCTTGCTGGGGGACACTTCACTACTTAAAGAACAAAAGGGGGTTAATCTGAGGTTTGTAAAAATAGCTCTTCTAGCAGCCATAAAATGTATAATGTTGAAATGGAAGGATTCGAAACCTCCGTCGACTTCTATGTGGACTAAGGAAGTATCATCTTATGTGCCTCTTGAAAAAATAACATTTTGCTTGAAGAAACGTCAAGATCTGTTTGTAAAACACTGGGGCAGCTTCCTCTCTTATTTGGGTATATCAACAGGACAAAATATATAGACCTCATCTAATTATCTATCTTTTACTTTTTTTTAATCAATATTTGTTTCATTTATTTACTTGTGGCACTATGCGATGGAGATTTAGGGGTGTAGGGGTATGTCATAGGGTTATATGGGGAAGATCGGTTCAGGCTAATTTGTATTTTGTACTGTATATTTTATTGTAAAAACTTAATAAACAGAGTGTTAAAAAAAAAAAAAATGAGTTCGGCAAAAGGCGGATTCGAACTTGGGTAGATCACGTCAAAAAAAAAAACTGCTAAAATTATGCCCTTTATTACCTACTCCACTGGAGTCGTCGTATGAAAGGTGTCTTTTGTAATCTTGTGTAACCCAACCACACGTTGGTGGGCGGAGTTAGTGTAAATAGTCTCTGCTATCTTCTCCTCCCATTTCTACCAGTAATGCTTGATGCAGCTTCCAGCGTCTGCTACTGGGTTGTAGGTTACCAGGTTGAGGTCACAAATGGGTTGAAATTTGTATGATGTGTCTGTAGAGGTGGAACCTCTGGATTGTTCTGATAGACCTTTGAAAACTGGCGACTCCGGTAAGAGAGTAAAGGGCTCAGAGAGTCACATCCAAGAAAGCTTTAATGAGTTGGGTTTATACAGGCCACTTTGGTGAGCATAAATGTATACAGGCAAAAGTATTGGGGTATTTGGGGTGTGTATATGTGTGTGGTCTGAAATAGAGGAAAATTGTGTAAATGAGATATAAAATATTACAGCCTTTCTATTAACTTAGTACAGATGTTAAACATTTACATTCTGAACATAAACAGAT